AAGCTTCTTTATTTATTTACCCTAACAATAATCTGAAACCGGTAGGCCTATCAGCCTAACCGTTATAGCATTCTATGTTTTCCTACCCAACTGCATTAGGAAGTTGGAAGTTTCATTGACTTTCCTTGTTCAGAAGAATACTGAATCCAAACGCAAGCTTTATATAGGACTAATATGAGGAAAATAATTTTTAATTCTGTTGCAACTTGCATTTAAAAAGTTAGTAATATAGCAATAAATTATATGTAAAGAAAAAGTTATAATAAACCTATGCAGTATTTGGCAATAAATGCATTTATAAGTTCTATGAAGGAAAATGAGCATGCCATTTTCTAAGAGAGTCCTACTTAACGTGATTAGTGAAGAATTCAAAGAACAAAAACGAATGCATTTGAGAAGCTTATTTAAATTAGCGCATAACTGCAAGTATAAGGGTAGGAATTCAGTTTAGATCGATAATATAAGGTTATAAATGACTTTTAGATAGCAGAATAACCAGAATCAGGTATTTAACGAAACTTGGTAGCATTCGACATTGCATAATATAAAAAACTAAACACTTAATTATGTTTTTAAGTCTATTAAGGTTGATTAAACTATTTAACTCTATATCAGTATCAATTTTGTATGCGCGATTTATATTTTAACTGCATGCAATTTGTTCGTCTACTATACTCCCTCTGGTTGGCGCCTCTCATGCTCTAAATGACCGAGCTGCAGACCTTGCAACAGAGATTAGAGCTTGTTAGGGAACAGCTAGACAAGACTGATAGTGATATCAAGCGTCTTACTGGCAGGGATATCGCTTATGACAAGTACGCAACTTGATTTATTCTCACTTTCACAGTTTTATTAAGCGCTCAATTCAAGCTGAAGAACGGGCATTAGATCCGGCGCAATCTGGTGGAGCCTATCTTAAGTAATAAAAGTATCTTGTTTTACACTTTTAGAAGAGGTGGTTTTAATAGAGAAGATCAGCCGCCCAGCAAAAGAGCGAATCGTGGCTCGTTGCCTTATCCTCAGTATGTTTCGTATTGCTTCTGTCTCTCTAGGTTTGATAGTGATGCAAGCAATCAGCTACCTGAAAAGGAAGAAGATTTAAATGTAACCTATTTGTTTCTTAAATGCCTGCTAGGTTAGTGTCCCGTCCTCCGTTGTCCGTGTCTCGGATAGCAGGTCTCGACAGGATGTTATTAACAGTCTTAAGGATGCAGACAAAGAACGGTTAAGTGTACTACTTTTCGGATTTACATAATTTTGTTTCGTTGGTTTTCTATAGTTTATCCCATATATGTTTGTTATTGCCCATATTTTAGTGGGAGACGTATGTTGGGCATTCTCCAGAACACTCTTAATGCATTTCGCAACGAATCAGTGGCAGCTAAGCACCAACCAAAGGCTGAAAATCGACGAAGGATTGATGAGAAGGTGGAGGCTCGGGCAGTGGAGGAGAAAAAAAGTCTCCAAAAAGAACGCGTTGAACTATTCCGGGCCCGACGAGAGCAGCTTATAGAAGTTAGCCTGCTGCAGCAAAAAATGCGGATGCTTAAATCAGTAAATCAGATTATGTCGATTCGTTCTTGTATTACTTAGTTTCAAGACGGATTGGTTCCGTTATTGGAGTGCCTTTTATTTTGCTTGAGTTGGCCATTTCTGTTGGTCTTCAGAATTATCCTGAGTCCTCGTTGACGTATTGAAATCGTGCAGGCTCATTTCGTCACCTTGCATACGCCAGCATTTCAATTTTTGGCATGGAATCTGCTCTTCTTAAGCATAGCAGTTTAACCTCATTTCGTATTATAATTAACTTTGTTGATGGGAATTCTAACCTGCCATCTATCTGATGAACTTTTCCCTTCTTTCTTTCTTATAATTTGATATGAGTTTGCACTCAATGACTATACTTTTGTCCTGTTTCAGTTTCAAATATGGAAGAAGGAGACTGAAAAAATGTTCGGATTTATTCGAACGGATCACGCTCCTTTTATATTTTTCCGTCCTCGGGAGGATACTGTGGAAAGCAACGCACGCAAAGAGGATACTAGGCAAAAGATTTCTGGTTTGTTGATCCAAAAAAATTTTTGTTTTTTATTTTTTCATTATTTCTAACCGTCTCTTTTCTCATGCTGTAGAGGCTATTGAAGCCCGTCGACTGAAAATGGAATCTTACTTCGAAAGTGTGTCCCAGCAACGTCGCCATCGTTTGGCTCAGTCTGACCCTGAGCACGAGCTAAGTCTGCGAAATGTCGATAAGGCTGGCAAATTCAACTCCACTAATTCTGATGAATTGGATGATGACGAATTTTTCGCCTCCTCCCTGAGAAGCCATGTTGTCGTTTCATCTACTAATAACAATGCTGCACAACAGCTGGATTCCAATATTGAAAACACTAATAAGAGTACTATGAAAAAGGACGACAAACACAAGAAATCAAATAAATCGGATCAAATCGAGGAGGGAGAGCTGTCAGAAGAAAGTGGCGACGACGAAGAGCCAATGCTCACTGATAGGGCTTATCAGGAACAGAAACTTCTTCGTCTTCAAAATGATGAGCAGACAACTAACCACGTAGAAACTGTAGAGCAAACAGCCCTTGTTATAGAACCAAGCAAAGAAAGCAAAAGTATGACACCGGTGATAGATATTATGCAGATCGATAGCGACGTTGGTCACCGCCGGGTTGTGGTACAACCACTCTATACTCCTCCCTCTCAGTTAGATACTGAGTCTGCATCTTCGCCTCAATCAGTCCCTGCCAGTTTTCAAATTCAATCGACTCTAAGCGATACTGAACCGGGAGAGGAAAGGTGGGGAGACAAGAGGACAGTTTGGCTAACTGGATCATCCATAGAAACCGCTTGACCTCTTAACTTGCTTCACTTCAAGTGCTTTATTGCGATGGTTTCTATTTTCGTTTCATTCGAACTTCTATTATGGGGTTTAACACTTGCATTAAGACACCTTACAGACAATCTAACATTCGCGCACAATTTTTGTCAACACCAGTTGTCCATTGTATCATATTCCTTTCTCCCTGTCTTCGTCGCAGCGCTTGTTGTTTCCGGGCTTGTTTTCACTTAATTTGTACCTAATCGTGGATATTTCTTAAAGAGCAGTTGCTACAGTAATTTCTTTTTTAATCAAACCATTGGTATAGTTGTTGGCCTTCGCATGTGTTACGCTATGATTGCTTGTGTTTTAACGCTATCATTTGATTGCGTTTTTTATCATTATGGTATTTTCACACCCTAGGGATCTTTTCTTGATCACTAATACAAATATATTACCCTGCTCGCATTTGATGCAAAGAGCTCTGATCTTTTTCAGAGCTTCTCTTCACTTTGTTCTCGTGTGGCGTATTTTATTCTCAATTAGTTGAGGCATATTTGTTTGTGGCAAAATTGTTGTTTTGATTTGATTTATGATTATCCTAAGAAAAAAGTTCCAATATGAGGTCAGTTAAAAAACCAAACTGTTCTATAAGGCTTACACATTTTACTACGTATCATTGCCTAATTTTGTGGCCACTCGGCTCGAGTTTGAAGTCTTTCCAGAGCTGCTTTATTTATTTATTTATTTACATTGCTTATGCTCCTATGTTGTGTGGAGTTGTGGTGGGATGGCGTGTCATTTGGGCGCTTGCTTTGCTCATTTTGTCCCATTTCACTCAGCCTATCATTTTTGTGTTAACGCTTTGTTCAACCAGGTTGATAAATATTTTAATATAAGCAATGTCTAGTGTGGTAGCTTACCGCTATTATGTTGTTTCGGTCTTATCTCTGTGGAGTTTTTACTTCGATTTGTCCGTTACTGGTTAATTTCACCTTTGGCAGGATTAGCGTGTTTTACAAAATTAAAATTCAGCTCTAAAATGGTTAATATATATGTATCCGCTGCATACTAGTTGCCTTTAGCAGTGCTGGAATTGGTCTCAATGAGCACGTCTTGCATAAGGCCTCCGTCCACATGTTTGCTTTTGAGCAAGCATGAATTGAATCTTGGATGCTCGAACTTTTCCAGCCATAAGAGAGAATCTTGTGAGTAACGAATTGAGATTATACGCAAGGACAAGTCCCTAAATTCACCGCATAGATATATCAACTTTGGTTCATATTGCGCGGAAAGTGATATCTTTGCTCTAAATTTGTGAAGGTTCAATAGAAGTACTATCACATTCAATTGTGAACCCAAATAACGTTTCATTTTCATTGAGTACCTCGGAAGCTTGACTCTAATGCGCGGAGGGGGCTTGCATCTAATTTACCTATAAGTTTCCTGACGTCCTTGTATACGGAAGCGCGTCTCTTATGAAGTTTCGACTGCCTTTTTTTCGTAGTCATTAAATAATGCGTTATCCTTATTTAGATCCTGGTATAGTTACATTGGACCCCATTTTTGCAGGCTCGTTAGCTACCATCCCATTTAATGTAATTCTGCGGAGACAATTCGGCGAATCATTGATAACTGCATTAAATATCGGTGGATGTGTATTTGGTCTCATTCATTGAAGCTGCTAACTCACAATTCCTCTGTCGCGCAATGAAAAGCAACGACAGCAGCATGACAAATATTAGTCTACCTGTTATTTGCAATAACTTCTGTCTCGAGTTTTCTTGTTTTCAGTCCAGTGAGGAAAGGTTAAACTCGGCTTTACTTTTTAAGCTCTGCAATTCCCATACAGAATTAGAATCTGCCTATCCCATCACCTGTCTTATGTGTCACTCCATTTGGGTGTATGCTTTATCCCTTACTCATTTTTTCGATGTTATTGCTATCGATTTGGTATATTCCTATGCATTCTGCCGGCATCGTCATTGATAGTCGCCATCTTTAGTGAATCCTTACAACTCATCAGGATGGCGAATACCGCGATCCTAACCAATTTTCTGGTCAACTTTTGTAAAATCCCCCTTCTGTCCCAACTGTCGCTGTATCCTCATTCTTTAACTCCATATTACCTATTAGTAAAACATTTTCCTCTGCAAATTCTTTAGCCAACTCGTTTTCATTAAAGAATATTTTCATTTTTGTAAAAGTTTATTGTTGCTAAGACTAGGTGATTCCCTAATGGCTAGTGAGTGTAAGTAAAGGCTATTCATTTTGAGGATTATCTATTTACTTTATTGGCTTTCTTACTCAAGCCTAAGCTCGCTTGTGTCTCGCCGCATTTATCAAATTAACAAATGACTCACATTACAACTCTTTTTGAATACCGATGACCAACACTCAATAAACCCTTGTGGTTCTACTTAACCACCTATTGAGCATCCATCCACTACTCCCTTTATATATCTTTTGTTTGTCTCAACTACGTGCCATCATCTCTTCTCGCTAAATTAACTGTACAATGTTGTCTTTATACGATTCTCATACTCCTGCCGTTTCCTTACTCATTCCACTTATTTTCCTCTCTTCAGGCATACCAGCATGGTGACACCTTGTCTTCGGCATCTATCGGCGGCACCGTTGCTCTTTCTGTTGGAGGATCCACGTTCAAAGCAGGCCAATTTCTGTCAGATTTCGCGCATCAGAAGGGCGAAATCCAGCGCGATCTTGACGATGCAGTCTCTCGCTTGAGTTTGACAGGGGCAGTTGACTCTATACAGAATAAGACTGATAGAGCACAAGTACGTCGGTATAATATTTATACGTTTTCATCTCAGACTATTACTATAACTACTGCGTGCTAATTCTGTTGAAAAGTCGAAAAACAAACTTCGTAAGTAGATACTTCCTTGGTTTATATCAGTATGAGTGATATTCACTCTAATGAAGTGGCCTCTTTTCTTACTCCGTGCCACAATTCATTGATTCCCTTTAGTGGAATGGAATCCTAGCATATTAACTCATCTAATTAGACATCAATCCTCTTCGTCCACAATCAGCCTATTTATAATGTTAAAATCTGTCTTACGGTTAATCATACAGCCAAGCCTATTTTTAGCGCACATTCTATTGAAATTTAAAATCTAAGCTTTCATGTCGGTGCCTGCCCAAATCTTCTAATGGGCTCCAGAGTATTCGTTGGAAATTTCTTTTTATTCGGCGATACTTTTGCCTCAAAAATATGAGATTAATTTATTTGATGGTGGGCCAAATTAGCATAGGTATGAACTCTTAGTCATTGAGATCCTTAGAGTACTCTATACTCGTCTCGGATCTTTTGAATTTATCCCGAGTTTTTGTTTTTAGTTGCTAAACGCACTTTCAATAGTACAGTATTCAAATTTAGTGAATTCTAAGGAAGCCTAAATTTAGACGCAGTATGATTTGAGAACGGTTGTTATGTTAGATTAAATTCGAAAGCCTAATTCTATTAAAATGATGGAAATGTGAGCACTGAACTGTGTGAGAAAGTAGATAAGCCATATGAAGTCGGGTTAAGAGAAAGAGATGCAAAACTACAAGGTAGAACAAAAAATAGGCGCGAGGAATGATGCTACAACAGCTGAACAGAAAACTGGGATTGTCTTCATTTGTCACTCATAAGTTGTAACTATGCTAAGGATGGCTTCTTTCACTGAAGATGTCGAATACAATTCCGGCAAAATGTTTGGGAATGTACCAAGTCACAGGCTCAGTGCCGGAAATCCCGCTGGGGGTGCTGGTAAGACCTAAGCGAGCTAGGAACTGCAGTCCACCCTGGATGAGAAAAACTTTTGAGAAAGCAAGGCTATGTGAAATTCCCTGCTTCTCTTGTGAACCATGATTAAGATTAGCCGAATGACGTCCAACAGAGATGGCTTATGGGTGTCACCTGCGCCCACTCCGTGAATTCGTTGCCTCTATTAATGCTAATCCTCCCTCAGTGGAATGTGCAAAGAATCTAGCCGAAACGATGGGAAAATGGCGTAACATCCCTTTCAAACCCAATTCAATTAATACTGCAGTGCATAAGGCCTTTCCACATCTTAATATGTACGCGTCCGAGGCTACCGAATATTATCACCACCGAGTTATGCCAAAATGTGATAAGCAATTCACATTGGAAATAAAAGGACAACA